TTCTGGATAGAATGTCATATTTAAAGAAAATTTCCCACCACAATGCTAAAAGAAAAAAAAAAAGATTTCTACCTGAAAGAATTTTTAATTTTCATATTGCATATTGTAAGTTCTGAAAAGAACCTAACTTTTGTTCTTGTTTCCTCAAAAATTAAAATTTAAAAGTTAAAAGATTCTTATCAACAACCTATCATCATCAAGCATTGACAATTGAATGATACTGTTCCTTTACTCAAGATAAAATAACTCTAATTGCTGTCACTAAATTTTAGTCATTAATTTTGCTAGAATATCGCTTACACCATGGTAGAAGAGAAAACGACTATACCCTATTAGATTCATGTCTTCCTAGCCATCACAAGCAACGATGACCAATGATCCTAACCATCATTGCAAATGAGTTTTCATCAAAAGGACAACCATCATATGTGACCATAAATTGACACGTGGTTGTCACACACCCTTGATCACAAATGGGCATCTATATATATATATATATATATATTGAAATATACAAATGACCATCTATATTATCTGTTGTTTTGATCGGTTCAGTTCCCACGATATTAGTTCTTTACCAGTCCAATAAGTCTTCCAGCCTATTGTATCCGTTTTCGATCAGTTTGGTTATGTTCACATTTTACAGTTACTTTTATAGTGTATTAGTAAAAAAAAGTAATAATTTGTCATTCAATACTACAGACTTACGGTGAAAAATAATCCACTTGATTATAAATGATGTATTTTACTAAGTTTTCATCCATTTGAATGCATATAAAAAACTGAGATACATCTACACAAAGTATCAAATATCATATATGATGTCTAGTTTCTCAATGATCGTTGGATATATGATAATTATTGTTAGTCAAAAAGTGAATATGAAACTTATGTTTAAAAGTAAGAAAATATGGGATGTTCAATAAAAATTAACGACTAAGCTTAAAAATAGAATTAACACTTTATTTGTGTTAGAAGACGAAAAACATGAAGTTCATCTCCAACCGCAAGCTAAAACTTAAGAAATGTTAGGTCCTACTGAAGTTGTTCCCATTTATACTATTGATTTTAAGTAAGTTCCTTGTTTCAACAATTTTATTTTATTTCCAAGTGCTATTAAAGTGATTCCTGCCCTAATGATTGCATTAAAGAGCTTTGTTGTATGATCTCATTTAATCTCCTTAGTTTTATAATCCTAAAGAACCTATAATTCTAGTTAGCTTTCAAATTTTTTCACAGAAAATGATCAACAGTCCTGGGCTTCTGAGATTTTTAAGGGCATGTCCGCATCTTTCCTATCTAAACATTTCATCACTTTGGAATTTAAAGTTGAGTTTTCACCAAATGGGGCAGAACGATATAGAACAAGAAGATTTTATTGTGGAAGAAGTTTTCAATTAAAGAAATCTTATGGAATAATAAATTATTATATTATATATTTAAATTAGTTATGTGTGTTTATTCATTATAATATTATAGATTTTTATTTAGATAGATCTTTAATCTTTAAACTTTCTCTTTTGTAATGTTTTTACTTGCAACTAATGTGTATACAAAAGTTAGTACTTATCAACAAAGAATAGATCATAAATGATGGTGAATTAAGATTTTCTTTGTTAAAGTTTATTTCATGTTCATTTTTGCTTTTGTTTTTCTAATTTTATTCTCTCTAACCTATCTTATTTATTCTTTTTTCTTTTTAAGATAAATCTTGTTTATTCTAATTTTTTTAAAAATATTTCTTCACTTTTATCGCTAATTTACTCAATATTATTCTGTTTCTCAGTTAAATTCTTTTTATTTCTAAACTATCATAAGTTAGTTAATCGCTACTCGTCATGACTGTTTAGCAGTTAGTTGTGGGTTATCTAGAACTAGAGAGTGCTATGCAAAGAACATGTCCACAGCAGAATGATACTGAAACTGGTTAACAAGAATATTCCTTCTCTTCGCCTCTTACTATCTCCCTTTGCTCTTATTCTCTCAATCAATTCTCCCTTCTAGACTCTTGAATTCTGGAATATACAATATTACTTGTATCACACATCTTATAGCACGAGTAGACAGCTGTAGATATGTCCAATATAGGGTTTCATATAACCATGCAGGGTGAAAATACTTGTGGAGAAAAAGTTTGTTTTACTCCTTCAATTAGGCGGTGAAATTTTTATTCCTTCCTTTCCTCTCTTCCAACTAGAAGGTCGTTTTGCAGGGTTTTCAGAGTGATCAAAGTTTCAGAAAGTTCTTTTTTTTCCTAATTATAGATATATACATATACATTCTTTTTGAGTTATTGTGAAGGCAGAACAGGAAGCTGTGATCAATTGAAATATGTACATATCTCTGGGTTAAGTTAGCGGGTCAAAGTTTAAGTTCTTTATTTTGAGTTCAGTTCCAGCATCAATATATCCTGATGGTATTCATGATCGAATTTGTTTTAAGCATGCTCAAGACACTCGACAGATACCAGAAATGTAGTTATGGTGCTGTTGAAGTTAGCAAACCAGCGAAGGAGCTCGAGGTACTTAATGTAATTTGTCTAACATATGCTCTGAAATTTCTCCCTGGTCTGATGAATATATGAACATTTGAAGCACATTTAAAGCACATATACGCTCATATATGATAACATATATTATTAAGGTTAATGTTGATGGCATGGTAATGTGATTTGTATGACAACAGAGCAGCTACAGGGAATATTTAAAGCTGAAAACTAGATTTGAAGCTCTACAACGAACTCAGAGGTAATTCAGTATACCCTATAAATCAAGATTGTTGATTAGAAATAAATGATATTCTTCATTTTTGTCTCTGCACCCCAAAAGGAATCTTCTGGGAGAGGATTTAGGCCCTTTAAACACCAAAGAGCTGGAGCAACTCGAGCGTCAGCTAGAGTCATCTTTGAAGCATGTTCGATCCACCAAGGTAAATGAATTTCTGGATCTTGAACTTGAAGCATTAGAATGTACTATTCTAAGATCAACCATCACCAATCTAAAACTTTTTGGAGTTCGAAGAAACTGATTCTTGAAACCTCCCAACTGCAGTTATTACTTTGATCAACTTGAACCGTTATATGGGTCTCATAATCAGATTATCACACAAAATTCTTCAGTTTTCTGTTAAGATTATGAACATGATTTTTTAGCTTCTTGTTCTGTGGGCTGAACTGGAATTTATAGGGATGATCTCTTGCTTAAATCTGTAGTCGTTTTGAAGATATAGCTCAGGGCATGTTCTATTCACAGTGTGTCATATACTGCATTTGCTATGCTATATGTTACTGTATTGACTCTGAAATTTTCTTTGCAGACCCAATATATGCTGGATCAGCTCACTGATCTTCAAAACAAGGTATATCTATATAATGATTTAGCTTAATTTGTGAACTTCCTTGCTAACAGCTCAACTTTTTTTTTTTAATTCAGGAACATATGTTGCTTGAAGCTAACAGAGCTTTGACAATCAAGGTAATACCAACCTATAAAAGAATGTAAAAAGTTCTTTTCTGGTAGTCCAGAATCCTAATTGGAGTGGACAGAACGTGTACTGTTAATAATTTGCTTTTGGTATTTAATGTTGAAAATTTGTTTGGCAGCTGGATGAAATCAGTGCAAGAAATCATCTTCGAGTGGCATGGGAAGGCAGTGAACAAAACGTATCTTATGGGCACCAACACGCTCAATCTCAGGGACTATTCCAGCCTCTGGAATGCAATCCCACTTTGCAAATAGGGTAAAGCTTTGAACTTTTTAATTGTACCGATAACATGACGTCAAAATCTGTTATGGGGAACTGAATCTAATTTTGGGTGAGGTTCATTCATTTACAGGTACAACCCAGTTGGTTCAGACCAGATGACGGCAGCAGCCACAAGTCAAGGCCAACAAGTAAATGGGTTCATCCCTGGCTGGATGCTTTGAACAGCTGTGTGGCCTGAATGACCACAAGAACATTGAAGGTGTTTTTATAAGTATATGCTTTTTGATGTTGACAATATGTAAATGGTTGATTTCATGTGCATTTGTGTTTAATTCAGTCAGTCATATGGACATAAAGGCACAAGTGGTTGAATCTGTGAGGCAAAAACCTCTAAGGTGTAAGGCCTTCTGGACATGATGAGGGCATGTAAGCAATTCATATGATATTGCACTTCTGAAAACTTGTTTGGAAACCTGTTTGGTGATTTGCCATTTGAACATTTCTTCCCTTTTTCTTTTAATTCAGTGAAGTGATATTTCTCCTCTTTGCTGTATGAAAACTGCAGTTGTGGGGCACTTAGAACTCGGTACTTTTTTACTATAGGAATCAAAAGAATTAATTAATGACCACTTTTCATCTATTCATAATTAAAGTAAGTGATTTAGAGTTTAATGGATAGATATTATTTTTTATCTATCTGCAAATAAATGAAGCCCAAGCCTGGCCCATTTGTACACTCGACAGAGGTCTAGTATGCACCAGTACTCTATTTTAGGACATGGTAGGCCTAGCTCGGGGCGTGCTGGCCATGGAAGGAAGCTACTCCAGTCCAAACTGTGGTTTAGTTTTTTTTTTTCACAAAATACAAAATCTAATTTATTTCAAAAGAGATAAATAATTTAAAAAAAAATTAATTATTTTTTAAATTAAATAATTAGTACTTTAATTATTATTTTTAATTATGATATTTAAACTTTTATCGTACTAATAACAACTAATAGAACAGTATTTAAATTAAATAAAAAAACATTTATTGGTGACAACTATTTTTCAGCTGACATAAATAAATCAATTCCTTATCAGGGCATGATATGGAGCTATCAGAAAAGACCATGCATATGTACACAAACATATATATTTATATATGTAACAAAACTAACCTTATCTTAATTTATACGAAAGCGGCCCGACATACGATGATAATGATAACGAAATATCTGTTACATACAGAAATAGTCCAGCCTTACCTTACCATAATTAATTAACTACAAGGTAATTAATTATAAAACTAATTGTTTTTGGTTATTGGGATAAAAAATTTAAAAAAAAAAAAAAAATCTTAGCTTTAGACTTCCAAGATTTTACTGATCAAAGTGGTCCCCTAACAAAAATTTGCTTATGTTAATCAAAATTTGGTTCATTTCCCTTTTTTTAATAAGTTTATATATATATATATATATATATATATATATATATACATGAAGAATGTACTATCTATTACCAAAAATTTAAGCTTATATGGGACCGTAGTCTATTCAACAACATGGTACTGAGTTTTTTATGTTTTGTATTCAATCGTGCAAGTTTTTTATTTTTTATTTTATTATAAATAGGGACCATTTTACTTGTATTTAGAATATTTAGTTGGTATTTAATATTTAATATTTAATTTTTTAAATAATTTTTATTTAAAAAAGTAAATAAATAATAAAAAATATGTATCTTCTTAATAATTGTGCATATTAATATTTTTATATCGAACATGTTTTTAAAAAATATATTAAATAGTCAAATGTACGTCTTATAATGTTGATAAGAGATGATGATTTCTTTTTTAATGTTGGTAAATAGAAGACCAACTCTATTTTTCAGGAGTACTATTATGAGACTTTAAGTTTCATTATTAATATTTGAAGAAACATGTGATGGTGCAAACATATTATTCCAAAATCTCTCAAAACCAAGGCAAACATGTCCCTATATATATATATACCTATATATTTTCTTAGCTTTTGTGGACCATTATCATTCTTACATGAATTGAATAAAGGGTATTACCCTTTGCCAAAAGTAGAGTAGAGGTTGTCCATACATACATAAATTATATATATATATATAGTAATTATATATAGTAAAATTCTAGACTAAAAGATCTATAGATTAATTAGTCTAAATTTATTTAATCGAGAAACAAAAGTTTATCGTCTGTATTTACTGATAAGATATTAATATGGTACCTTAATTCCTTTCTTCTTTTTTTTTTTTGGCAAGAATCTCTCATATACTAGTTTGGACTTGCAAGAAATTCATATATATCAATGAAAATTTGAAAGATAATTCAAAATATAATAAAATAGGATCTTGAGCCAATGAAGTTTCAATAGCAATATAATTATTTATCTAGAGAAATGAGGTCCCAAATTTTAGCAAGATACATTAACATAGCTTCCACTAAATTAATTATTTATAATGACTCCAAGAGAATGATCCCTTTCATAGAGAATAAGAGAGAGAGAGAGAGAGAGAGAGAGTATATAATATATACATATATATATATATATATTTGGGGAAAGAATTTAGTAGATATAATTATACATAAAAGAAAAGGACCACACATGTGATTGTGGTTTCCCTAAACGACTAAGACTTTTCTAATTAATTTTTAATTAATATCTAATAATATTATTAGAAAAGATTAGATTCCCAATTGCACCCAAATGGAGAAAAACAAAAAAGGTTTGGTGTTAAAGAGATTGTGACCAAAAACTCAAGAATAATGAAGAAAAAAAGATTGAAGATTCTTATATTCTAATTCGAGTGAAATTATTGGGGGACTTTATTAACAATATTATTAGAAAGATGCTATGTGCGACCCATAAATCTGTAAGGATTAGACTCAATTCTCTCATCAAGGTGCCTTCAACAACTAAAACTTAGTAAAAGGTATCTTAACTAATGTTCATTAATTAAAAATAAATTGAACAAAGGTAAGCTTATTCATCTCTGGATGAATAGCTAAATTAAACTTAGTTGATAAATAAACACCTCTTATATTGAAGATTATCTAAAATGAATGTTATTATTATGTCTCTATTTATAGACATGAATATATAATTTAAATCTAGAAAAAAATATAAAGACTAATCATAATAAATTTACAGTATGCATAAAAATATATATGATTATTACATTAAAGAAAATGATATGTGATTATTTCATTGGCACGCCCTCTCTCTTTCCTCCCTTCATTACCTAATGGTGGCATGAAGTAAAGATTAAACTTGTTTTGATATTTGGAAAAAAAAAATGGTTTCTAGACGAACTTCGTGAAAATATTAGAAATTTAACTTTAGAGGAGATAACATGTACTTGGAGTTACTTCTTATTTCTTCATGTATAAAGTCATAGTTAATTTCATTGTATCTCGTGTCAAAATAAAATACTATATTAGAGGTGAGATACACAGTTATAACATCGTCATATCGAAGGATAAGAGGATGACAAGGTGAAAATGCCAAGTTTAGCAAATAGGTGTTAGAACCATAGAAGTTATACCGTGGGATTAACAACAACCTTATACTCATATTCAATTGAAGAATATGTAATAATTGATTATACTTCTTGGCTTGTGAAAGAGACAAATTTAGAGTATAAATGTACAGTAAGACCATTATAGAACAAAGGTCATCAGCAAAATCACCCTAATTAGCACTAGAGGATCATTATAAGGAGATTAATGAGAGAACAAACAATAAATCAAGGTGTAAGATTTATTTAACATATTAAAGAAGTCTTTTCATCGCAATTCAATAATCAATGGAGGAATTGTGCATGAATTGGTATAATTTTCTTGTAAAGAAGATCAAGTCATGTTTAAAAAAAATGACATATGATAGTGCATCAAAGACGTGTTGATATTATTTAGGATTGTTAAAATCTTAACCTCCAATCCGACAAGAGGGGAGTAATAAACATTGGGTGGGGCAACCATTAGGGTAGAGCAACCTTTAGAGTTAGTCATTTTTATTTTGATAAGAAACTCATTAAGATATCGTGGTAAAAGAAGATTATATTATCATTTTCATACAAAACTTCTACATTGATAATAACTAAGTTTTTATATATATATTTAAAATAAATTTTATCTTAAGGTTGTGGAAAGCCTACCGAATATAAGTATAAAAGTTTCCTACTGTAATGATATCATCAATATAAATAAGAATAAAAAGGGTAGTCAATCCTAATTTGGAGATAGTAACAGATCAATTACCTTTTGATGCAATAAAGCCAATTTGCTGTAGAAACTAGCTTAAGAGATTAAACCATGTATTTGGCACCTGCTTAAAGCCATATAAGGGTTTATGAAGTGTATAAACATTATTACCAAAGTTTTTGTCCACAAAACCAATAGGTTATGCCATTTATACATTGTTATTGATGTTTCATGAAGAAAGGTGTTGGAAACGTCCAATTATTATATATCCTTATCGAATAAGATGAAAGAAAAATAACCAAATTTATTATTATAGTTAACGTTTGCTCTTTAGTAAAATTTTTTACTACAAGACGCACTTTGTAATGGTCAATATTATAATTAGGAATTCTTTTAATCTTGAATATTTATTTGTTGTTAATTAAATTGTATTAAAAGCTTTCATAACTAAAGACCAACTGCAAATGGTAAAAAAAACATGAAATTCCTCACTCATAACTAGACTCCATACTCAAGGTTTTTAACTTGTATGTAATTTGGAGATTCTTTTATGAGTAGTTAATAGATGAACTAAAAAATGGGAGTTGTGTAAGGTTCGCTTGGATTTTTCAAGTTGAGGATGACATTTAATGTTGCAAAATGAATGTAGGTAGGAAGATTTTTGGTAGCAGTAGAATTAGAGAAAGAGAAAAGATTTGGATAAGAGGTCAAGAGAGAGTTGTAAAGTAGATAAGGGTGAGAGACTTAAGGTAGGAAAAAATGAAAGATTTTGTAAGATGGTGGTGGGTCTGGGAATTTTGGGTGAAGAGGATTTTAATAAGGAGATGATAGAACTATAACAAGAATCGATTAATGGAGAAGAGATGTTTGGTGAAGTAACTTTTAAATTAATGAAAGAATGGGAATTATGGAGTGGTTTAAAAGGAGGAGAATTTATACTTGAATTTTGAATTCTAAAATTAAAAAAAAATGGGGAAATTCGGCAATGACACTTAAAATAACTAATAAACTTATGAAAGAATTGACGAGATAAAATGCAAAAAAATGTATATTATATAGAAAATTAAAAGGGAAGTTGAATTCATAGGCAATAAAGCAATTTCCTCAACAGCTTGAACTGTCACGAAAAGAAGATTTTACATAATGTAGGGGTGTGATGCATGCATAAAATTTTTACAAATGTTGAGCATTGGGAAAGACTCGAGTATCTTGACCCATGACCATTTAGGAATAGATATCTGCTCATAAGTTTCTTTAATTGACTCATAAATTAGACTATGACTATTATTGGGGTTTTTGTTTATGGTGTTGCAATGAAAGTGTTCTATGTTTTACTATGTGGTGTTATGAGGAACATAACTTATAACTAAAAAAGCAAACATTGGGCAATGGCAAAAGCTGGAGTGCAGAAGAAAACTTCTCTAACATATTATGTCTTTTGAGTTGGTTTATGTAAATGCTACGTGTTGATAACATGATATTTATATGATATCCACTTACATATATTAATTTAAAGATATAATCATTATCGATAGATATTAACAGATAATAACAATTAAAAATGTAATTTAATTATTTTTAAAAATTAAAAGTTGATATAAATAAATAAAAATAGGGTGCAATTTTAATACTTTTTAAAAAATTAAAAGTAAAATGACCAACATAAATTTATAAATAAATTAAAAATAATATTTCTTTAAAAGAATTTATTGGGGGAGATATTTATAAGGTTGAATTTGAGTTTTTTAAAACAAAATGTAAAGAAAGGGAAACTAAAGAGAGAAAGTCATGGATCGAAGAAACAAGGAAATCTCGGTCCCCCCCCAGTGACAAAAACATGTACGGACTGCTCCCTCCTAAAAACCTGTGGCTTAAAACGCGACACTAACGACAATGCAACCCAACATCCAATTGCATCTCGACAGCACATGCCCCAGTTTAAACTCTAGTTTTCCTCTATCAACCCATTTATTAAACATTCCAAATAAACAAAAATATATATATTTATATCTCTCATATATATATATATGCATATCAGGATCATGAATAGGAAGAGTATGTAATGCTGAATATTAAGAATATTTTCTCATTTTCTATTCTCGTTTACTTTCTTTTTTCTCCCCCTCATATATTCTTTCCCTGAAGCTTGCTTTTGCTTCTCAAACAGCAAAAACCAGTACGAAAGTAGAAACCTTTCTATATTTGCCATATCCATCACTATATTCCCCACTCTTTCATCAATTCTTCTTTCTTCCTCTCCTGGGTCTTGTTCCTTTATGCCAAAAAAGATGGCGAAACTTTAGGGTTCCTTCAATCCTTGTTTGCCTGGTGAGAAAATTAGAAGGAAACTAAGAGAGGGGAAGGAGAGAGAGAGAGAGGTGGGTAAATGGGGAGAGGAAGGGTTCAGTTAAAACGGATCGAGAACAAGATCAGCAGACAAGTAACTTTTTCCAAGAGGAGAACCAGTTTACTCAAGAAGGCTCATGAGATCTCCGTGCTGTGCGAAGCTGATGTTGCTCTGATTGTCTTCTCCACCAAAGGAAAGCTCTATGAGTACTCTACTGATTCAAGGTTTGTTCTTTTTTTCTTCTCCTTTCATACATAAATTCTTTACCTTTACCTGGTATCTGCTTATTCTTTAACTGTTTTTAACTTATTTGCTGCTTTTCTACCTCTGGGTTTTTGTTATAATTATGTTTTTTTCGTGGGTCTTCAAACTATACTTGGTTCTTTTTTCTTTTTCCGTACAATGTCATGGAAAAACACGATGTACAAATATCCAGCAAATCTCTGTACTGTTCATGTCATTAAAGAAATGTCCTTTTTTGTTCATCATACGGGATTATAACTCCTATATCCATCTTTTCTGCAGCTGACCGAAAAGCATTTCTTTTTCCTCTTTATAAGCTCTTTTCTAGTTCTACTCTTTTTCTTTCCGTTTGCCAAAACTTCTCTTTGAGTAAATCACTAGCTAGTACAGTAGGTATTGATGAGAAAAGACATGATACATCAATTGAAAGTTCGGATCACAATTTATGGAGATTCAATGTATGGTTTCAAAACGTGTCTATAAAACGCATGCAGCACGACTAATTACGGGTGTTTTACTATTTTGGATTTGGTATACTCCTCTGCAAATTCTAAGGTGATTAAGTTTAAATTATGTAGTTAGTGTAATTAACATAGGTTTTAATTTTGATATTAGATTTTTGTTTGACAACACTAACTGACCTTGTTTGATTCAGTCCCATTTCAACTTTAACCTAAAGCTTTAGTTTTCTTAGAAGAACCATCCCAGGTAGCTTGTGTCATAGGGCTTCTTTTTTAATCCCCCCCTATTTCTTTTCGTTTTTGGTTCATTAATGATTTTCTTGAAAATCTTGCGTATAACCTAGGATACTTAGTACTCATTGTTGTTGGTGCACCTATATAATATATATGTATAGGAGATTGCCTCCCTAATGATATATTAATTTGTTGAACAAACTTCAAGGGGGGTTGCACAGGAAAAGTGAAGAAAATATTGACTTTATTAATTACTTAATTATTCAAGATTTCTATAATGATCCTCCACTAAGACGTTTTAGTGCCCATATTATCGGCAACAAGCCTATTATCTCGAAGCGGTATTGGAACCAATTATGCTGTGATATTATTAGGGAGCAGTGATTAGATATCACTGCATAAAATTATCTCTAGGACTCAATATTTAAATGTCCACTCCTCTCCAAAAAAAATTATTAAATGTCTACATTTTTTGGGGTTTGCCTTGATTATATATAATTAAATAATTAATTAACGTCTAACTGAAAATAGAAAGGCTTCATTTGCAAATAGAAAACCTACTATCTCTAATATTAGACTAAGTTTATATAAACTTATGTAGAGATATCAGACAATATAAACATAAACAAGAGTTGAAATCAAACAAATAAGGTCAAGTATTGTTTTACTTATAAGTAGTATAGTTTGATAGGTGTGGTATAAGACAAAGCTTTTCTTCTCCTTTTATATTATTACTAGTTTTCAAGCAAAGAAGAACATGAAATATGCATGATAGCAGTGCATGGTAGAGCTACGAATGTTGATGAATACATTATAGCAAAGATTTTCATCAAGTGGGTCTGCTATACATGCATGATTCATTATACTGTTCTACACATAATGTTTCTTGTTTTAATCTAGGTCTTGTTAGATTGTACACCTTGCTATAGAATATACTATAATTACTTCAGTATTTTTCTTTTTCCAAATGAGAGAAAGAGCCCAACGTAGACCATGTCTAGAGTATACAACTATAATGTGTCTTTTTATCTTCATTTTTCTTTAGAATTTACAGTCTTAAACTTTTGTTCTACATGCAAGTCAATGCTTCAAAACAAAATATTTTGTATAACATAATTTTGTTATGCATATATTAAACTCACTGTATGTTCCATACACTTCTAATTGAATTACTAATTCTCATATGGGCCATAGATGATATGTGTTATGCTTCATAATATTGTTCATTTAAAGAAACTGAATTTACACTTTATTATGATCCCTAATACGTTTATAAAGGCTACTGTTAGGTTTGTTTAATAGGGAAAGGTTTTCTAGTACTATGAGATAGAGCCTTTATTTTGCTTCCACCATTACTTCCATGTAGAAATTTTTTTTATATGAAATATTTCAAATTTCTTTTCATGATCTGAAAACTTTTGTATGAAATGCTGTAATAACAACCAGTTTTGGTTTCTTGATTTCCTACTTTAATGGATTGTTTTGGAGTTTCTTTTTTTTCTCCTTGATCTTTTTGGGAAGAGAGTGTTGGGGTTTTAAATGGATAAAAGAAACAGAAAATTTATATAACTCTAATACTTCTGAATCAAAGTAAAATTAGGTGAAATAGAGATATAATGTACCACTTTTAGCCCTCTAAATTTTCAATATTCAATCCTTCAAATTCGAAAACTAGAAGAGGTTCATAATTTATCCTATACTCTTTTAGGTCAACTTTTCCTATTTAATTCTTTGGTTGATAATTTGAAACATTTATTTTTTTAATAGTAAGGATATTTTATTTACTAGTAAGCTCCTACTTTACTTTAAACCAGAGAATAATGGGGATTGGCAACGTCCTCGTTTCAATCTTTATTATAATTAAACGTCTAAATAAGATAGGATTAACAACAACTATTGAGTCAATTTTTTCTATTAAATTACTTTAAAAACTAATATGTTACTTCACAATTAAATTCACAGGTTTAGATTAAAATGTTATTTTTCAACATATTCTATAAGAGACATAGTAAAATGCATAGACAAAACAGTTAGGACATAATACTGCTGAAATTCCAAAATGAATTATCCATGGAAGG